TCAACGTGAGGCGGACGAAAGAACAACGCGGGCGGCCCTCCAGCGGATTGAACAGGAGCGTGAGGGGTAGATATTCACGTGTGAACACGAAAGGCCTTAAATGCCAAGAAAAGGTGAGGCAGCACAGCGGCGCTGATAACGAACTGCCACAGCCGTACAAAATGCTCTGAAAATGTAAAGCATTTTGTGCAGGGCAATTCAAAACAGTTTATTCAGTTTGTACAGAACACTACATATACCTGTGTGAATTTGCGTGTTTTCATTCGACGAGTCGGTCTGAATTGTAACGTCACGTAGAAAGTAGTAAATAACTCTTCGATTTCAGTTACCATGATTAATTTTTTTTATCTGGCTAATTTAAGCAACTATAGGTTTGCGCCACAGATAAGTGTGATGCCATTTATGTACATTAGATTCATTTTCCCGGTACTCGATTGTTCGTGCATGAGCCATGCGCAATATTGTAAGATTCCGTAAACAGTTATTAATTATTGAGTATTTAATTACCAGTAAGTCGCTACCCTTTATATAAACTACATTTCATAATGAATACGGTAATTACTAAACGGCTGGCCTGTTTAACTCACATGCTTTTGCTATTATCGGAACTAGCAGGGGACGGCGAATATGAACAGCACAACGTGCATCGATCGAACAGCCGTGCAATATACACACATGTATTTTCAATATTTTTCACTTGACTACTGTTTACTAAATCATAACATTCCTAAAATTTCTGTCCATCATTATAGCACGAAATATTTACAACCACATCCCTTTATAACGAGGCCCTTCCGGTCCTGCAAGTTTTGTTTTGTTTAGGTAGTTATAGAGCGGTCTTTACGGTATTTGTGGGTTGTGATCATGCCGGTCTTTCGTGATATTTAGTTGTATCTCTCCTCTCTTTTCAGGAAAACCATCAATAAATACCACTGATCAATTTGTTCGTTTACCAGATAAAACTGTACCCAGTTTGCTTCGATGCGATAAGCTGCCCATGGGATCCGGGGAGCAATTGTTGGCGGCCACGCCATGTTGGGTTCCTCCCTGTGACAAGGCAGATGATGAGAAGCTAGAATTTCACGCTTCGGTGATGCTGAAGGAGGTCTGGTGGCGATGAAGTCTTAAAAACTCTTCTTCATTAGACTTACGTTTTTTTTCCGATTAATCGGCAACGATTACACCCTGTCACGCCTGTAGGCAAGGCGCAAGGCATTGTACAACGACACCTCGATAGCTCACTCTCAATATTTGGATGGTGCGTCGCTAACGTTTGTTTCCAACAAATCGATAGAGGCGATATCGAATTTTCGAAACTCAAGGAAAACAGCAACAACGAAACGTTTATCATTACGCTTTGTCCCCATTGTTATTTTAATACTAACGATCGCTTCTAATTCACTTATCCTTTGTCCCAGGGGCCATTTTAACCCAATAATAATGCCTACTTAAATTAGTAATTAAAGAAAGACTGCACCAATTGTCGACGAAAATCCGGATCAAGTAGGCGCTCTTATTAGCTAGCATACCTCATTTACAACTCCGAGCGTCAGGCTAAAAGATGCGGTAACCAAAAAAAGGATGCGGAAATTCTGATCAGGAACTGCATCAGTCTAATGAAAAGTGTTCTGAAGGTATGACGCCTCGTCACCATTGTACTTCCTTCAGCATCGCCGGAGCGTGTACTTAGTCTCTCATCACCCGCCTCCTCACAGGGAGCTCCCCAATGTGCGATGATCACAAACAGTTTCTCTTCAGAGTTCACAGACTAATCCTCGTTTC